CTGGTTTTTATCTTAATTTTATTATTAAAAATGAATATTGTAAAGTGTTGTATTATAATTATTAAATGGTTTGTTGTTTTGGTAAATAATTGATTATTATGTTTCTAAATAATAAGTGATTATTTAGTTGTTTTATGAAATTATATTTGAATTTATTTGCATTTTAAATTATTATTAATGTCTTCGTTTTATAATAAACAATATTACATTTTCATTCTTATTTTTGTTAGTCTTATTTATATTTAATTTTTGTATTTATCTCCATTAGTATTATTCATTAATAACACAATGAATCTTCGATATATTCTCAATTGATTCAAATGTATTGAAAAGTTAATGATTATTATGATTAAAGATAAGTCGGATGAATTGATAAATTCTTATTGTATTTTGAAATTAATAATTGAAACATTTTATTTGTTATCAAATTCTTATTATTTATTCTTTTATTCTTTTACTTATCTTTTATTTCTTCTCTTCTTAATCAATACATATGTTATAAAATTTAACATTATATAGTGTTATTGATAATTGTTATATTCTTTTCATTAATACTATGTTTTCACAGCAATTTATAAACACTTTAGTTTTCAGAAATTGAATTATTCCATCATTAATTTGTTCATCATTTCTTTTCTCTTTCATGAGATATTCATTTTAACTTATTTTCATTTACTCTGTTTTAATTACATCAATTTATTTTCATTATTCATTTTGTTTGATATATATGAACGTCATTTCAAATATTAAATTAACCATTATGAATCTTTAAAATATATCATAATAATAACTTTCTTTAATATAACAAAATTCAATATTTTCTAACACTCTCATCACCAACCAATACTTTCTTCATAGTGAAATTAACTTCAACAACTTCAATGAAATGAATTTTCAATAATCTAATAAATACACTAACCAATATCAAATTCATAAGAAAAAACATTAATTTCTTTATCAAACACATTCTATTATTGAAAATAAAAATGAATAATATTATCCAAGTTCATTTAATAAAAATTATATAAGTTAGAAATTAATTTATCATAAAACTTTATTTTATCTTTACAAATAAATATTTATTAAAGTATATAACAATAGATAATTTCAAAAAAAAAACATTAATAATTCAAAATTATAAGTTTTAAGTTTGGCTTGTAAAAAAACCATAAACACAAATTATTAACATAGTTGTTGTACTTTATTTTGTGTTTTCTTCAATGTTTTTTAAATACTTAGAGCCTTCAAATTTCCTTCCACTAAAAGAATAGTTTCTGTAACACTCTACTTTTTCTAAATTTTTACAATACCTGAAACATTCATCTCCTATGTTTTCTACACTTTTGTTTATTTCAACTTTTGTCAAATTGAAACACTGTTTAAAACACCCATCTCCTATTCCAGTAATATTGCTTGGAATAGTTATTGAAAATAAATCATTTCTTTGACTGAAACAATAAGAGTCAATATAATCAATATCGTGTGGTATTTCTGTCAATTCTTTTGATTCTTCCTTTGTTAAGAAGACTTTAGTTATTTCACAGACGTTCATTTGACGTGCAATCGTTGCCATTCTTCTACACATTGGTAGAGTAACTTTATCACCATTGATAATCAACCTTTTAATTGTTGAACAAAATTGAATTGATGATGGAAGAGAAAGTAAGTTTGTAGAGAAAGTCAAAGAAGAAAGTGATGAAACATTTGTGAAACAATACATTCCTATCTCTGAAACACCTCCCAAATCAAGTTCTTTTAGTGAATTCATATTATCAAAACAACCAATTCCAATTATTTTAAGGGATGGAGGGAATATCAGTCTAGTTAAATTATTCCATGAATTACCTATTACCATTCCATTTGAATGCATTTCTATTAAGGTTGATGGAAATTTAATCTCAATATCTTCATAGTTTCTTTCTTCAAAATAAACAATCTTAATTCCTTCTCTTAACTGGGTTGTTGTGTGCATTCTAAGTTGAACTGTATTACATGTAATACCTTGATTTTCAAGAGCCATTGCAGGTTCATTATCAATAACATCTTCAATAACACTTGGTGGAGAATCAATAAATTTAATATTCTTTAAGTTTGGACATTGACAAAACATTTTACAATTAAAACATTCTTTGTTCATAATAGTTACACTTGTTAAATCAGGACAATTATTAAACGAGTCATCTTCAAATTTTTTAATATATCTCAAGTCAATTTCTTTAAGCAATGAAATGTCATGAAATGAGTCTGTTGATAAATACGTTAGACTTGTTGGTAATTGAATGTAATCCAATTCTTTTTCATGAAAACAGTTAGGTTCAAGTCTTTTTACACCATTTGGTATTTCATTATTTTCTGTTGTATTTCTTAAATAAATATCATTAATATCAATTCTGTTGTTAATAAATATCTGAGCTTCTTCAAAAGGAAGTGTTGTATTTATTTTTGTAATTACATAATTTGAAATATGTTTTAATGATAATAAACCTTGAAAACAATTTGTTCCTTCTTCATAAAGAGTATGTGGGAGTGTGATACTTGTTAATTGTGTACAATCACATATACTATGATTTCCAATATATCTTAATGATTGAATATTTAATTCTTTAAGAGAATCAAGTTGGTTAATACATTCATTTCCAATAATACGAATATTATTAAGTTCCAATTTTGATAGACATTTATATTGATTAAATACATTATCACTAAGAATCATAATAGAGTCTAAATTCAATTCCTTTATTTTATTTATTCGTTCATTATTATAATCATTATTATAAATAAAATATTGAAAAATAGGATTATACCATTTACATGTAAATAATATTTTAATTTCCTTTGGTAATTTAATATTATTTTCTAATCTAGATTCATTCATTCTTACCATTCTAAAACTAACATTTTGTTCTTTTTTCTTTTTTATTGATAAATACTCTTTTTCTTTTATATCACCAAAATAATAATATTTCTCTATTCCTTCAACCCGTCGTTCTGATGTACTATAAATGTATTGTGTTTGAATATTTGGGAAAATTTTTAATAATTTTTTTGTTAATGGGATAGGATTATAATGAAACATTGAAGGAATGTCTTTGTATTTCTTACAAACTTGAACCATGGCAATAAAGTCACTTGAGAAATTAAAATATTTAGATATAATCATCATATGATATGTATCAATTGTTGACATTACTGTATATTTATTATAAGTTGATTTTGGGTTTTTATTTAAAAAAGACAAAACTCAAAGTTATTTAAAATAATAATTTATTCATTCTCTCTATTATATTAATTGTATTTTTTTTATTACATAATTAAAAATTTTACGTTAAAATATTAAACTTTTTATGTTGAAATAACAAACTGAAACACATTGGAATGTGAATGAATCTGTTTCAAACAATATTCTAATTGATGACTTTGTATCATCCCATTAGAATTTAATATTTCTATAAACGGTAATACGTCACTACAAAATGCATCATATTCAATATTAAATGGTATTGTTTGATTTTGTTTTGTTATACAATTATTTATTATTTTACTAAAACATTCTTTACATTCTTCAATTTCTTTATTTCCTTTTTTATTCATTGTACTAAATGATTGATTTACTGGTGACGCTTCTATTTCAACCATTCTTTTTTCTTTTCTTGGAATAACCATAACACTTCCTGTAATAACAGCACATGTAAGATATTCACAGAGTGGTTGGTTGAATGCTTGTTTCTGAAATATATCAGCTAAACAAATATAATGTTCTACATACGTTAAATATTTCATTTCTTTAATTGTAGAAATAATATTATGTTCGATTAATGGGATGATTCGTTCTCTCCCTTGTAATTCTTTTGCTACACTACTTGGACTATGTTTTAATTCATACCTTTTTTCATATTCATTATAAACAGGTTCTGTATGAATAATTCTTCCTATTAAATGAAAAAATGAAATTGCTTCATTAGTAGAAATAACTTGTACAAATTTACTATTTATTTCAATGATTTCTTTATTATTTAATGCAATTCTCAAATCTCCATGACATCCTTCTGCTATACTATTAATAATCCCTTGACTCATTCCATTTAAACACTTTTTGATACAATTCATTGTTATTGGATTTAATGTAACATAACTAATTGACTCTTTTAATTTTTCATATTCATAATTCCCTTTATTTGTTTCAATATATTTGTTAATACTGTTTTTTATAGATTCATTACAAGTAATAATTAATGGCATTTTCCCATTTCTTACATAATCTACAAACAATTCAACATACCAGTCACTTGAACATTCTTCTTCAAATAAAATACAACTTCTTCTCCAATCCCCTCCAAATAACCCTCTCATTTCTGATGAATATAATACCCATTCTCTCATTTCTTCTTTACTTTTTCCTTTCTTATCATTTATTTTACTATCCATTTCTTTGACTTGGATTCGGTCTTCTTTTCCAATTGATTTGATTAATGTTGTTTTGCCACATCCATTTGGTCCATTTACAATAAGTATTTTTGGTTTTGTCAAATTCTCATTTATCCATTTTCTGACTTCTTCTACTTTTTTCTTTTGAATCACTAATTTACTCAATTCAGTTGAGGCAACCTCAATCCTTTGCTTCGGTCTTGCCATCATCTTTGTTTCTTGTTTTACTCATTTTTAAGATTTTTTATTTGTTTTATAAAAAAAGTCAATTATATTGTTTGTTTTGGTATGACTCTAATAACACTCTTATATCTCCAACTAAAATCCTTTCTCACTGGGTGTGGCACCTAACATTTTAATAACCTTTTGTTAATTTTATTTCTTGAATGTTATTATCTGTTTCAGGGTTTCTTCTGTTGATATTTTATCTGAGACTATCCATAGTTCTATATCTTTATGAAAAGGATCTTGCCATGTAATGGTTTGTAACATTGTTATTGAAAATGAATATATATCTGATTGAATTTTGTAATACTCTTGATTTAATATTTTTAGAGTTATGTGTTTTGGTATTTCTATTCACTTGCACTTCCAAAATCCGTTAATTTACAATTAACTTCAATGTTATCATCAAGTGATACAACAAGAAAATTATCTGGTTTAATATCTCGATGTAATATTCCATTTGAATGAAGATATGATATTCCTTTTGCTCCATCTATCATAAATTTGATTCTTATTTTCTTTGATATTTCTGTAATTTTTCTTTTATTCATTATATCTTGTATTGATCCATATTCTGCATATTCTGTTACCATACATATTTTACTAGGAATAAATACTGTTCCATAAAATTGAATGATATATTCATCTCGAAATTTATCTAACATTGCTACTTCTTTCTCAAATTCTTTCTTTTTATCTTCATTTTCTTCAATTTGTTTCATTTTCTTAATTGCTACTTTATTTCCTCTAAATTCTCCAACATAAACAATTCCAAATGATCCTTCTCCTATTTTCTTTTCTTCTTTTATTTCATCTTGATCAAGTAATGTTGATATTTTCATCTTACAAGTAATATGTAGTGAATAGAAAAATAGTTTGTTGTGACAAAAATCATCAACAATAACAATACAGTCTTCTACAATTCATGTACAATATCAGTTAATTGTAATTTTAAAATCACAAACTTCTTTGAATCTTAAATAGATCTGTGTAGGTGTAGTACTGAATAAACACTTTTCTTGCTTTATATGTTTTTGAAATGACTTTGACTTTAACATGGATGGTATAGAATGATCTAACATAGAGAAAACCATGTGCTTCTTTACCAATTGGAATGTAGGTGAATTAGTTATATCAATTTAAGAATCTTTTTGTATAGACTATTTTGTAAATGATCGCACTTAGTCTTATTTTTCAATTTAAATACAAAATCTGTTTCACCTTTGATGACTCTAATTGTTTTTTTTAATGAAGTACCACGACAAACTAACAATACCTGCTATAATTAAAATAACTATAATACTTCCTAAAATACATATTAGTACTATGAACCATACTACTGGTTGCTTTTGACAATATGTTCCACTTGTTGAAACACTATACCAAAAATCACATTTGCTACATTTTGAGTCAGTGGATTTAGAGCAGTGTTCAATAGCTCTATAATGTACACATTTATTTTCTATTAATATATAGTTCTCTTCACAGGAATAACAAGAAATTAGTGAACAAGATGTACAATGTTCTGTTACTTCTAGACAAGATTGACAATAAGGTGTTTTGACAATATACCCATCTTCACATAAAGTACATCCATTTGGAGTTTTAGTTTTACATGAAGTTAACATGTCATATGAAATACATTGTCTTCCATTATACAAAAAGAAATTATCTTCACATGAAATACAACTACTTCCATCCAAACATTTCGTACAATTCTTTATACATTCTTGACAGTCAACGTCTTTTCTGTAAAATCCATCTTTACAAATAGCACATCCAGTCCCTGCTTTCATCATTTGAGTACATTTAGTATTAAGAATATCATCACTTTGACATATTGATTTTGTGCCATCTCTTTGTAGTGTGTGTTTATCATTACATGAAATACAATAAGACTTATCACCAAAACATTCATAACAGTTAGAAT